TTGAAAATTCAGTATATAAGGCAAAAAGAGGTTGTACAACTAACAAGTTTGAAAGTAGTTTTCTCTTCAACATAGCCTGACCTCTCTAAGCCAAGCTCTGTTGTCATTTCGTTAAGCAGTCTTCAAGACTTTTACACTTACATTTTGTCATTAAAAATTGCATTTTCACATTCCCTAATTTTGTGATTGCAGTTCTCAACATAAGATAAACCTTTATTAGTCCCACACGTGAGAAAGTTTTGGTCATGGCAGGAAGTACAAGAGAAAAAAACAATAGAATAGAATAAGATAAACAGAATAACAGATGACAGATAACATAATCTGATATTAAGAACAAAAGGGATTGTTCCTTAACAAGACTATTTAATCTGGCAAGCATTTACGTTTCTCTTTTGCACATAGACTCTGGAGCTGTACAAGAGGAATAAAGAGCTGCAATTCTTCTGTGAACTCTGGATGTACTGGTGCCCTCAGATTCAGACCTCAGCACTACGAATGAAAAAAAACCCCAGCAGCAACAGGTTTTTGTGTTGGTCTTCTCATTATGGGTTTAAAGCCTTTTAAGAGAAGTATCCCCATGTTTCCATGTTTATTTGTTGCCCAGATGACTGTATGAGATTATGTTTTTACATTTGAAAATATAGCAAAGGGAGAATAATGTTTAATGTCATCTTTTCTCCTCCTCCACATCTCTTCAAAGTGTACTGTGTGAGCAATTGATTTCTATTTCATGGGAGAAGAGAGGAAAACAGAAGCACAAGATAACATAATTGTACACATAAGTGCATTGTAGAGTTTTAAAAAGTTATGAATTTAACACAGTTTGGTCGGTGTTTTTGACTTGATGTCCAACAGACACTTAAGCTCTCCATACTGTTTGCCATTTTGTGTCACCAAAATTTAAAAACCTGTCATTTGTTAATTATCGGCGGGGAATAAGAGCATGAGACTGATTATAAATGGCTGATGGCATAAAAGAAAGACTGCTAAATGTTATGATGAATGTCCATAAATAATATTTTAACCTTAGAATTTGTATGTATTTTTTTTTTTTTACAGATTTTGTGTTTGTGTGTGTGTTTGTGTGTTAAATTAATGAGTTTAAAATAAAGAAATCCACACAGTTTGTTTGAGGGCACACATTGTTGAGATATCGACATATATAGATGTAGATGTTAAATTAAGAAGTCTAAAATAAAAATAAAAAAAGGTATCCAAAGTTACTGTGGTTATTGTTTATACTCTGATTTATTTGGTAAATAAACCCTTCGTGATAGCAACGCCAATGTGCATTATAGATGGGGGGCACACATTTTGGCAGACGCTGCCGATCTGCAGCAGCTTCTTCTCGGCTCCACGCACCGCCAACGCGAACAGCACGTGCACCCGCATGGCTGCAGTACCGAGTCTGACGAGAGTGAAGCTAAAAGACCAGCGAGTAAAAGATGGGGGGGAAGCAAAGTGAGAAACGAGCAGGAAATCTTTTCTTAAAAGCGGATATACGTAAGATGCGACCGGATGTCGTTTACCGGGTGGTGTTACTACAAAACCTGTCCGGAAAAATTACCTGAAGTTGGATTCACATTGGTTGATTCTGGTCGGTACCATGTGGGACTAAGTTCCCTGTACTGGGATTGTTTTTTTGTCACTTATACGTAATATATATATAAATATGTCTTTTTGTTTTCTAAAGACGGTAGTTTACTGTTATTGACAGTTTTGTTGTTTTTCTTGTGTTTTTAAAGCAGAAATGTAAAGAAAATAGTCTAAGGACTAAGGCTGTAATTCTCCAATTTGAATGTGTCATTCAGCACTTGTAAATCCTAGCAAACCGTCTTAAATCAAGTTACATCCTTTTCAATTTGTGAAATATTTACGTTACTTGTTATGCCTTGGAAATTTGAAATTATGCATCTGGAATGTCTTGTATGTTTTGACGCTGAATATTTTTTTCTATTAAAAATTATTTATTACAAATTAAAGTAAAAGTGTGTCTGAAATCTTAAAAATAGGATATTAAAGTAAACTGCGTATTTATTTTGTTGTGGTATGAATGGCCATGTAATCAGTATGAAAAGCTGTAAAAACGTATTTACTCTGGAAGACAGCAGAGGAAACCGTGAGCCAAGTCTCTGTCCACATTAACAGTCAAAAACTAAGTTCACATGTGGCAAACTGTTTAAAACTGCTTTCAGTTCTGTGAAATGCAATTAATTTAATTTTAATGGAAACATTTTAAATCCAAGAAAACAGTCGTTTGATGATCCTGTTTCTTTAAGAAGCCACTGAACGACGAGCTCGAAACCGACTTTAGCCTCATCCCTCCCACAGTCTGTGTTACGTCACTCACTGTCACTCAGCGGTCACCTGCTTCAGCTGAGGTACGTCTAGTTCTCTCTGTGTACTTAAACTTGCATCTCCACGTACTTGACACTTCGAGGGTCAATAATGGGTTTGTATGTGGACTTTACAGGGCTGAAACCCATGGGGAGAACACGGAGAAGCTAACAGCCAGTTGCCACAATGCTCGCTCGCCTGTTAGCGTCGCTAGTCAACAACCTTCACGTCGTTGAGAAGTTGGCGGAGTCTCGACCGATTCGCAGGGCGGCTCAGATCACAGCTTACGCTATCACCAAGGCTCAGATAGCCGGACGGGACGCCTCGGACCGGGCCTTGCGCTCCCAGACGCTACGGCAGGTCCGGGACGAGGCCAGCAGAGTGCCCGGGGATCTGGGAGAGATCAGTGGCCGCCTCAAGAGAGTCAGAGACACGTTTGTGAATGAGGTGAAGTCGGGCTGGAAGGACGGATCCAGGCAGGTGAAGAAGTGAAGAAGACAAGCTGGTTGTGAGATGTGACCGAAACACTGCTGCTTGAACTAAATAGAACTATTGTGTGAGCACATTGTCTCAGCATGGCACAGAGACGGCGTGCTGGTGAACCATCACCATCAGGGTGCGCTCAGGTGGTCGGTAATGTCTGTACTCGCAATCTGCAAGGTCAGTTTATAACAAACTGTGGTTAGAAAAATAAATGTCCTTTTAAACTTCTGAAAACACGTGGGAGCTTGAAGTGTGCTCTTTACCTCCCACAAACCTCTGATGGTGATGTGGACGCTGTGTTTAAGTAAAACATTTTGTTTAGAAGATTTAGATTGACTTCTGATGAGGTCTTCTTGACATTCATCCCTTGTAGCGAACTGTGCAATCATTTGTCTGTAACACATCCTGCCAAAGAGCCTTTTCTGGCTCTGTGTTTCTAGAGTAAAAAAGTATTCATATTAAGTGAGATGTGCTGTGTAAAAAGACCTTTTAGATGTGACTCAATCAATAAAGGTTATAATTCAAAACAGCTGAGAGTCTGCACTTAAATCCCATCTTGATTGTATTAAAAACTGCTGTAGTTGTGTACAGAGATGCAATTACAAATATGTGCAATTGCCCAGAAACTTTATACTTCACGATTAATGGGTGAGTTTTACCGTAGGAATCCGGTCATATCAGGAAAAGCACACTTGCTACCAAACGAAAATAACTTGTTAGTAAAGGAACACTCTTTAATTGGTGTACAGCATTAGTTGATTAAACTTCAGGGATATTGAGTTGTCAGTTAGCAGAAGGGTTTTATAGTTTCAGCTACCTTGGTGTCAATGAAATAGTCTTATTGCTGCCCCTCTAATTGTCCCCAAAGGGTAGGAATTTTACAGGTGGAGGCCACTGACATTGTTTCCCCTTCTTTTGTTTTCATTTTTTTTTCTTTCACTAGTTTTACATTTAGCTACTACTGGTAGCATGAGGCATAAGTTGTCCATTGGATTGAGATCTGATGACTGTGGAGCCCATTTGAGTATAGTGACCTCACCATCACGTTCAACAAACCAGTTTGAGATGATCTGATCTTTGCTTCAAAGTTTGATGTGTAGTCTGTTTAGAGATGCTCTGCTGCAAATGTTGGTTGTAAAAAGTAGTTATTTTCTTTCTGCTCCCTTCCCATCAGCCTGAAGAATTATTGTCCCCTGAATAATAAAAATAAAAATATTTTCACCCAGAGAACTGCTGCCAACTGGATACTTTTAGATCATTCTCTCTAAATTCTAGAAATAGTTGTGTGGAAAACTCCCAGCAGATCAGCAGCCTCTAAAGACTCAGACCAGCCAGTCTGGCACCAAAAAGCCACTTAAATGAACTTTCTTCCCAAATCTGATGCTCAGTTTAAACCTGAACAGGTCACCTCCCTCATGTTTAATTGCACTGAGTTACGGTGATGTGATTAGTTGGTTAGATATTTGTGTTTAACAGTGTTGAACAGTTGTGCCTAATAAAGTGGCCACAAAAAAGATCCTCATGGAGAGAGAATTTGAAACACCTACAGAAAAGTGAAAAAAAAAAAAAAAACACTGGACAATTTTAAAGAAGGCTCTACAGAGTGCATTTTGCAGTAAAGAGCTTTATTTCATTAGAAAGAGCTTTATGTAGAAATACTTGTGCAGACACACTGGCCTGGCAACTAAATATTAGTCACATGTTCCATCATTTCACATAGAAATACATGTCTTATCCACAGAAAGAGAAGGCATTGGTTTCTGACAACATGAGTCAGTACATATACACTGATATGGCACCTGAACTTCATATAAAAATAAATCTCTTAACATAGGAAAAATACACATCCAATCAACATGTTAACAACAGGAAATAGCATCAAGCAGCAGCAGCAGCATCCAACAGGTACAGTGGATCTGAGCAAAAACAGTCATTGTTAAAGAGAGAGTAAGTGAGCTGTTTGGGTTGGAAGACATGCGATCCCACTCTGGAATGATTAAAGGAAAATCAAACCCCTTCCTAATCAGACTAAACCTACAAAAATTGAAATTAAACACTTTTTTCAAGGTTTTAAAGTTCAAATGACCCAAACAAGTCTTGCACCAACACTCCTCTGTCACGTCAACCATCCAGAAAAACAAATTTGCATTCACCCTCCGACACAAACCACAGGGTGTTTCCTTCATGTTCTCCCCAACGTTGTTGGAACCTGACAGGTTGTGCTGGTTTTATTCACTCCATCTGTGAAAAAACGGATAAACTGCAAAATGTGCAGAAAATGGCTGGATGGTGGAACATGTATTGTCTGCTGACACTGCTGTTCCCGATCAAATGCATCAGATTACAATCAATAATAAGAGAAAACAGATTTCACTGCACTGGTGCAGGCTTGATCGCATCATTTAAGGACTTAAAATTTAAACATTTGAGGAGAATACATGAAGCAGACAGCCTACGGACGCACATGGAGTTGCTTGTCATTACACACTCGCAGCACAGCTCTGTGCGGAGGTCACACTAGTGCATTTTCACTGATATGGTATTAGCTTACAGTAGAAACAGCCTGGAGCAAGAAAAAGGCTGTGCTCATATGCAGTATTTACAGTGCAAGTGGCAGCAAAGCAGCAATCTGACTTGTGGACTCACGGGAAACCTTGGGAAACTAAAGAGCCGGTGTGAATCCAGTTATAACTGGCTAGGTCAGGACAGTTTTAAATCTTTAACAGCTCACACGTGAGTTTAAAAGTCAGACTGCGATTTCTTTGCAAAGCCAGATTTGGAGAGACGGTGCTGCATTACCCACTTACAGTAACAGATGGCAGCACATGCACTGATATGGCAGCTCACCTTCAGTAAACAAAGCGGCGGCAGCACGTTCCCCTATTTGGCTGACAGTCGACTGGTAGCTTACTCATACCTCTGCCACAAAAACAGGAAGCGTTGTGCATGAGCACTACTACATCTCACATCCGAAGGCAGCTCCAACATGCCGTCCTCTCGTGTGTTTAATTAACATACAATCAGGCAAATACAGAAAGGCAAAGGGCTCCCAGAGCAGTGAATGCATTTATGGTGGCGTGGGTTGAGTGAACAGCAATCAGAAGAATTAAAGCCTGGACATTAATGTGGTGAAAAGAGGTGAATGGGAAAAAAAAGGAAAAGAAGTGACAGTTGTGTCTCAGAAAGGAGAGCATACAGGTAATCGAAAAAGGGGAAAGGAGTGGGGAAAAGAGCAGCTGTGTAGGCCTGTCATGCTGTTGTTACATCCAGTAGTTGGTCAGCATGAAGCTGAACAAGGCAGTCGGCAGCAGCCACACAGAGGACGCCACTGGAAAAGGAGAGAGATCAAGAAATATTAGTGAGGCTGTACATGAGACTTATTTTTATGTTAATGAGACAGATGGCCGGCTTTTAGTCAAATTTAAGTTGGAACAAGTTTTCTTCAACTCTAGATCTCCATTGTCTTCAATCTGTTCAGTGGAACTTTTTGTATCAGATACAAAGCACACGTTTTTTTATTCCTTGCAAACTTTAAGACAGAAATTTAGGACAACTGCACTCTGGCATTTCAACTTAAAGAGGCCGCTGCATTGTTTCATTTTATTTTCCATCATCTGTCTTAAACTCTTGTGTGAGCATGCCATACTTTTACTAGTTTCCCCATTTCCAGTCTTTATGTTACACTAGGCTAGTGCCTGGAGCTTCAGACTTGACATACAGAGGTTAGCATGTTGGCTTTACCTGCATTCGATGAGTTGCACTCCAAGTCAACCAGCGAGTCCAAGTAGACCTGGCCCAGCCACTCCTGGTAGGTCTTTCTGTCAGCAACACCCACGAGGCGCACAGTGGAGTCTTTGAAAATAAGATCTGTACCTTTGTACACCTGCGAGTCAAACATCTTGAAAGCAGTACCTGTGTCACTGCCAAAATATGTCTGCAAAGAAGCACATAGATATAAAAATTTCATGGGAAAATCATGCTTGACAGAGTAATTCATGCTTTTGGATGCCCAGTTTGAATTCTCAGACCTCAGAGCATCCTTGAACATACTGCCAAAAATCCCCAAACTCTTATTCTGAAGGATCTCCGATTCTCACAAAGAACATTCAGATGAACAGCGTTACCTGTGCTTGGTCCAAAAGTCCATAGATAGCATGGCTGTTCATGTCTGGGCGTACCATTACAGTGTGGGAAGGGACTCTGCCCAGGTTGCAGTATTTATATTGCGTTACCTCGGCTTTACCTGACTGACAGAGCAGCTGGAAATCTGAAGACAGCAGACCTACACAACACAGTTCAGATGACTGACTTTAATGTATACATATGTTTTTTTTGTTTGTTTTTTTTACTCTCCCTAAAATAGTAGACGTTTAAAGGTGAGCATCTCAAAGTCCGGTGTTACTCGTCTTACCCTTAGTGTTTTCGAGGACAGTAGAATGCTTGACGAACGCCACGTCTCCGTCTCCTTCTGCCACACACCTGAAACGACCGGATAAACAAACACATGCAAGTGTGGCGTGAGTGCATTAATCTTCAATAGAATTTATAATTTATAATTTGGAGGAGCTGTGGCATGTTTCCCATATACACAAATATATCAGAAATGCTTCTGGGGTTTGGATCTGTATGAAACTTCCACTGCTGAAAATTGAAAGGTAAAGACCTTTCAATAACCTGACAACCACCTATATGCAAGCACTTGGTGACAGTGGGAAGGAAAATCTCCTTTAAACAGGACAAAACCTTGTTTCTGCTATTTTAGAAAATATTTTAACAACATCCTCTTAAATTATTTGATACACTGTCAGGGCAAAATATTGCTCATAGCTGCTTTAACAAACGCTGACTTAAAGAAATGCAGTGTTTGTACAGAAGAGGGTAAAAAATGTCTTCCTTCAGTGAATGAATCCAGATTTCCTGATGCAGTGCAGTGGGCTTGGGGTGGGTTTTTAGTACCTGAAGGCGCCGTCGTAACCATCATAACGGTCTTTTCCTTTCTCGCATTTGTTCTGTCCTGATTCGTCTCCCACACAGAGTTCACACAGGCTGCTGGGGAAACCGGCTTGATTCGCACCTGGTACACAGCACTTTTCAAAGAAGTCTCCAACAGCTAAGCATCATGGGAAACATAAAATGCAAATTTAGAGACTGCCCTAACAATTTAGGCTCTATCTGAGGTAAATGAAAGAGCAACAGCAGTGTTTGATCATTCCACTGGTGTTACAGTTTGACCATAAATGTGCCTCAAATTTAAAAAACGTAATCAGGGTTGTAATGAACTGGAGAACGCTGGCAGGTGGGATTATGGGAGTTTGAGAAACTAAAAGTAACACAGTTTTATTACAGCCTCTGCTATCAAAGCTCAAGGTTTTCTACACACACACACACACACACACACACACACACACACACACACACACACACACACACACACACACA